AATCAGAGCAGAGAAAAATGCTCATGTGAGGACTTAGCAAAATATCTGTGTACTTCACATTCATACTCAAAATTATTTTTGAAACAGCTTTCCAATGCAGTCAGAAGCATTTCTCAGCTTTTGGTAATAAAATGTTTACAGCTTAGGATAAAACCATGGCTTAATTAATTAATTGCAGACCAGCTCATTTCAAATATTATCCTTTCAAACAGTATAACTTGTTACCTAAAGCAATGTTACAGGAAAAAAAAAATGAACCTGGTAATTTATGAAGAGGCCCTTCAGCCTGGCTGTAATTTAAGTTCTGCATATTCCTGAGCAGGAAAGAACACAATACTCAAGGCAAGAGCCACCAATAACACCAACAGGTACAAACAGCAAGCACAGGAAGTAAGTCACTACCAACAGTTCTACAATGTCCCCCTGTATTACATTCAAATTGTGCATGCTCATCTATGCCAGATGACTCAAAGCTCAATCATGTTTCATCTGTCATGATGCACCTGTCACCTGAGCTCAGATAAGATGCTCCATACCTTGCTAAGGATGGTTCCACTTCAGCAGTCTTGCAACAGGAAGCAATGGGAGATGGAAGATGCAAAGATGAGAACAGCACAGAGGTCCCCCAGGCATCAAGCTATCACACAGAAGGGGGAGTAAGAATCAAAAGGAAGGCACTGTATCAAAGCCACCATACTAGAATAAGCAGAATCAGAGCTGCACATCATGTCCTGCTATTGGCTATACTGAGTAACAAACTGGAAGAAAAGCTGCATCACCTTCCTTGACCCAACTGTGAGAAAACTAAGGCAATAGCGGATACTGTCTGGCTTCAGAGCAGGTCAGATGTCCATTGGTACCTGATGCAAAGGGGCCTGTTTCAGAATCTATAGGCTTAGAAGGTAACGAAGGACAGCACATGGCCAGCCTGGTGATCCAGCAAAATGCAGTACCTCAGGACACCAGGCTGCTCCAAGTTCATCTTTCAAGCCTTTTGAATTTCTTGCATCAGTTCTCAAGTCTGACTGCTTCCTGGCAGAGTGAAAGGAGTTTGCTTTCCTTTGCTATCCAAGCTGAAACTCTCTAGTGCTTAGTACCGCCAGAACCAGTTATCACCCCACACCTCCTGAGGAGAACACAAGTTCTCTCATATAGAACCAAGCTCCATCAGCCTGATGTGCAGAAGCTCCTCTGGACATCAGGAGTAGCCAAAAATACTCCCTTCCACTTCAAAGCTGTATCTTTGACCTGGATAGGATAGGAAGGTAAAAGAGCATTTGCCCTGCAAGTATGGAATGTCATTTCTCCGTAACAATCATGCTATTGCCAGGGGAATAAATAGCTGCATACTAAGAGGATGTCCAAAGAAGATGTATACAGAATGAAGCCTAAATAGTAAGCATACTCTCAGGTATCTTTGTCGGAATTTAATAAATACAGGCCACTATAGACACTGTATGACCTCACATCTCCATCAGATGATCAGATCTGCACAAGAGACTGCAAGCAGGCTTTGGTAGGCACTGAATTCAGTACAGACCCGTACGCTCCAATGACCAAATGGTTTATGTGTGACAGAAGAGAAAGGCTGGTGAACTACTAAAATTGCCCTGGGAAAGAAACAAAGTCAAAGATGGAAAAAGTTGTATTGTTACATACAAGAAAATCAGATTTCATACTACTTTACTACTACACTGAAATTAAGGGAGGAGGGCAGCACAAAAGAATGCTTTCATACATTTTATGGAAGTAAAATATGAAAAGCAAACTTTTTTTCAAGTGACATTTCACAGGAAAATTAAAATCAAAAACTCAGCTGAAAAGAAGACTTCCTCAGTGAGTGACTAAAGAAGGTATTTCTGAATGTGTCAAAAAAGAGGAGCAATGCACTATGCAGCTTTGCCACAAGCAAAAGAACATAAATATAATATACAGCAATACAGTTTCTCAGTGGAAACATCAAAGCTTCCCCACTTCCATACTGCAGTGAGGGGCAAACATCAGTAACAGCAGGCAAATAACCACTTAAGCTAGGGGCTATGCAGACCTCCAGCACATTTCTGAACTAGCAGAACAGACCACTGTATAGGACTAGAACTGAATCCACAAGTATCAGTTAGCTAAGGCTATGCATCTGTACAGCGTCAAATCACAGTACCAAACATGCTTCAAGAAACACAAGCATACTGTAGTAGGAGTATAGAGTAATTACATTCTGTGTATAGAGCCAGGACGGACAACACAGCAGATACAAGAGAAGCCACCACACACTCAGCAGAAAAGAAGTTATAAAGGCTGTAAAAAAGGTGTTTCATTCTACAAAGCAAAACCACTGCTCAATTCCTGTTACTTCCTTTGCTCACAGATCATTATAACCAGTGCTTCTGTTACCAGATTCAGGATATAAACTAGCAAAACAGAAGTAGCAAGTATAACCATTATTTCTAATTTCTCTAAAGAGAATCTTCTCAATTACAGCTTGTAAATTTCCCAAATCTATACACTTAGTATAGCACAACTCTTCTATAATCATGGTGTCTTCCCAAAGGTTCAATTAGACAGGTAACACTTGTTATTAAACTGAAGAGGGAAAAAAGGCTATGTCCCACTTTGAGAAATATGGAGGCAAATAAGTTTTCACTTAGTAATAAAAATAGCATATTCACATACCGCTAAGTAATTAGGATAGGCATAAGATCCTGCTGATAGGATGTGAAAATCAAAAAGGGAATAGATTACACCAAGGTGTCAAAGTTAGTAAAAAAACTGCAGGAAAGGGGAAGGAGAAAGATGTGTAAGGCATACAGGTAGGAAAGACTTCATTGCTGATATGACAGCTTTCTCTTTAAAAGGAGACACATTTTTATCCTCTTAAATTTAGATGAGAAAATGATGCATTTCAAGACACTGTGCCAAATTAACTACATCAACGTTTGCATGCCTGTTCCAAGACAGAAACTGACCTCTTGAACAGAAATCTCTATTTAAAGTAATTTAAAAAAAAAAAAAAACAAACAACAACAAACCCCAACAAAAACATACTTTAGGCACAAAATTGATAGATGCCATCTTATAAAAAATTATCTTTTCCTGAAGAAGTTAAATATGGACAAAACCTCAGCTTTATAAATATTTTTGCTTTAGACAACTAAATTGCAAATTACTTAAGAAATAGTATAATTCAAAAGATCTTCAAGAGACAATGTCTATATATATATATATATATGTATATGTAAGCTATGTTATAAATGTGACATCACCGAGAGCACCTGTGCTCATGAATTAATGCTATATAGTTTGTACAACCCTGTGGAAAATACTTAAAGAACTAAAATGAACCAAGTAAAACTGTAATACAATATTGGTATTAAATTGTGTGATTATAAAGAACAAGTTTGACACAAAGTAGGCAAAACAGGTGCTTATTGCATAGATATGCTTCTGCTGCTATAAAAGCAAGATCTGGTGATGAAAATATTTTTACCTCATTCTGAAAAGCAATCACTACTGCCAGAGTACATTTAACATAAATGCAAACAAAACTTACCAGATTTAAAAACAATACACTTGAAGCTATGCACTGAGACAATAGTCTGTAAATCAGTTTATTTTTCTTGTAGCAGACAAATCCAATCAGTGTAATTCCTTTTCTGCATGTGAAGAGTAAAGTCAAAGTTTTTTTTTTCCCCACAGGAACATGTTCACTGTGAGAATACTGAGTCTTGCAATACCCCATAGATTTTCCAATTTAAAGGTTAGTTCTAGATATGTAGAACTAAAACATCAGGGTCTTTTGCCATTAACGTTTAACATCTTTGTCAGCGACATGGACAGTGGGACTGAGCGCACCCTCAGTGAGTTTGCCAATGACACCAAGCTGTGCGGTGCAGTGACACGCTGGAGGGCAGGGATGGCATCCCGAGGGACATGGACAGGCTGGAGAGGTGGGTACGTGCAAACCTCATGAAATTCAACAAGGCCAAGGGCAAGGTCCTGCACATGGGTCAGGGAGATCCCAAGCACAAATAGAGGCTGGGCAATGAGTGGATTGAGAGCAGCCCTGCAGAGAGTGACTTGGTGGTATTAGTGGATGGAAAACAGTGAGCCAGCAATGTGCACTCACAGCCCAGAAGGCCAACCGTGTCCTGGGCTGCATCAAGAGAAGTGCGGCCAGCAGGTCCAGGGAGGGGATTCTGCCCCTCTACTCCACTCTCGTGAGACCCCCCTGCAGTGCTGTGTCCAGTTCCGGCGGCCCCAACACAAGAAGGACATGGACCTGCTTGAGAAGGTCCAGAGGAAGCCACAAAGATGATCGGGGGCTGGAGCAGCTCCCCTGTGAGGACAGGCTGAGAGAGCTGGGGCTGTTCAGCCTGGAGAAGAGAAGGCTCTGGGGAGACCTTATAGTGGCCTCACAGTGCTTAAAGGGGGTACAGGAAAGATGGGGAGGGACTCTTTATCAGGGGGTGTAGTGATAGGACAAAGGGTAATGGTTTTAAACTGAAAGAGAGTAGATTTAGATTAGATCTAAGGAGGAAATTCTTTCCTATGAGAGCAGTGAGGCCCTGGCCCAGGGTGCCCAGAGCAGCTGTGGCTGCCCCCTCCCTGGAAGGGTTCAAGGCCAGGCTGGACGGGGCTGGGAGCAACCTGGTCTGGGGGAAGGTGTCCCTGCCCATGGCAGGGGGGTTGGACCTAGATATCTTTTAAGGTCCCTTCCAAACCAAACCATTCTATGATTCTAATAACAACTACTACAGTACAAATGGTTAAAGAGCAGTTATGTGTGGAAGTATAACAGTACAACAGCTCAATTAAGGAAAAGAGGTTTAGTGCACTTTGCTTATTTTAGCCAACATGCTACATTGTCCTTTTTGTGTACAAAGTGGACTCAAGGATTTCCACTGTAAGAAAGAAATTACTTGACAATCGAAACACTGTGTCAAGCTGCCTTTGTTTTCCTTATAGATTTTGACATTTTAAGAGAGAAGCTTTATGAGACATTGCAGAATTCTGTGTTTTTATTATTAAATGAGAAAGTCTGATTTGTTACATTGTCACATTGCTAGTCTGAAATGCTCCAGTGATGAAGAAAGTCAATGCTGCATCAACCCAAGTCCTCATTCTACAACATTCGTTTAACAAAGAAATCATAGTAATGTTCAACACACCCAACAAAACATTCCTTGCTTTCTTCAAAGAAAAGTCCCATTATTCTTCCTCTAGCAGGTATCTTAACTACATAAATTAGAAAATTTTTTTGGACTACACATCCCCATATTTTCATGATATCAGAATGGGTTTCTACAGACATTACAGAAGTCTTCACACATCATCATCATCTGATGTATCACTGCTGCTTGTCTCAGAAGCCTCATTCTCCAGAGCAGGTTTGAAAGTGCTGTTTTTCCAGGAGCTAAACTTAAAATCACAGACAAGGCCGTTTTTCAAAATGCCGTTTCTCCGAAGACCGTTTTTTTTTAACTAAAATGAGAAAACAAGATGTATTTAGAGAAAGAAAAAGCTAAACACAACAATCTGTTGCATTTCAACATTCTCTACATCTTCATCTCCAGGTGACACTAAATCTGCCTTTTCATATACGCACACAAAGGAAAACTCCCCTGAGAGCCTCCACTTCTGGGCCAGTCACTGTATCCAAGCGCCTCCAATTGTGCTAAGCTTCTGCAGCCAACAAGACCTTGCCCTCTTCTCACCCACTGCCTCAGACGTCTTGCCCCAGTGATCCCTCCACCCACATGGTCTCTCCTGCAATGCAGTCGCTTTCTGCACAGTGCTGCAAACATCTGTGCTAAGAAGGGCAGGGTCTGCACTAAGGAAGGGACCCAGAAGAAGTGAAGCAGCAGGGAGGAATGGGTATAGCCAGTCTGTCTACCTGATGCAGCTGGAAGGTTAAAGACACTGGAAAAAAAGGAAACAACTGATTCTACAACAAGAAAGGAATTACTGTATTTCCACACATAGCGCAAAAGCTGGGCAATAAGCCAAGCATTTAAGAATTTAATATTCTGAATGCTCTAATATGTGTGTGACTGGACTTACAGAAATATTCTATGTTCAGATTTAACATCACACTAGATTCTCCCTTCCAGATCCTCCTCACTGATCCCACCAGGTACATACAACACTCCTAATTGAAATTAAAAAAAAAAAAAAAAAAAAAAAATCAAGTCTAGATTGCCTTTTCAGACTTTGACTAGGGAATTAAATGTGTCTCAATTTCCAACAGAGAAAATTTAAGTTTTGGAAAACTGCATCAAAACCTTTAAAGAAAATTCTCTTTCCCTCAGGCTAAACTGGGGAGCTGGTAAGCCTGTGCAATTCTACAACCAGCAAAGCTGAAACTGCTTAGAAGTGCTCCCTTACCCTTCCCTTGATATTTTGAGAAAAGGCCTTACCCTACAGCAAGCACTGGTCCCCTACCTTTTTAAAGCAACTGTTTCTTCAAAAACACAATACTGAAACGGCAACATCCCTAGCCATCAAAATTACTGCAGTTCCTCCTCAAAGGTAGGTATTTAGGGTAGCCAACTGCAAGTTCATAATGGAACATTAGCTGAGTGTTACCTGTTCACTAATGACTCTGAATTCCCTCATCTCATCCTCTGTTAGTGGAGCACATGTTTCATCATTTTCACTGTCTTCCTGCCAGCCCATCTCCTTTAACAACCTTTAAATTAAAAAGGACAACATTAAGGAATTTGCTACACACAATCAGACATTTCAAGCTCTGCCTACATGTATGTGTAAAGATCTGTAACAAATGGACTAATCAGCCCATATTTTTTTTAAACAATCTCTTATATAAAAGTCGTTTAAAAGCATTAAAAAAGATACAGAAGTTGAGAAGTTCTCAGCTCCTTCACAGACGACCCTGTTTTACCACTACATGTGGTAAAAACTGTACCTTCATTTTAAGAGAAGAAATCTGTCAGGTAGAAAAATAAGAATGTATTTCCTTTGCAGCAGCAGTGTACCCCCTTGAAAACAGTATGAAGAGACAAAAGACTCACACTGAGGGAACCTGCAGGTTTTCCCAGATGACAGAGCAGCCATGAGGAGTACTGGTGGTGTCCTCCATGGAAACCAACTGAGGATGCAATGACCTCATACAGTTTATTTTTTCTAGCACATGCTAATGTCAGAGCCAGGACAGGCTTCTCTGCAACTGAGTCTCACGCAACATCTGATGCTGGTATTCCAGCACAGACAGAGTACTAGGAGTTTTGGGATGAGGGGAGGAAAAGAAACAAGACAGATTCCTCTTGTAACTCAAGATTTTGAGATATCCAAAGATGCAATAATCAACAAGTTTTAGCTAGTGCCAAAAGTGAGACAGCAGTATCTGAGCAGAAAGAAAGTGGTTTTACATCTGAAGACACTGTGAAAACAGGGGCTATCTGAGGGTAAAGGCATCATGACATTTAACAATGAAGATAGTAGGGTCTCTTGCTGCAGTTTTTGCCAAAATGATTAGCACCTCCTTCAGGAAAACCATGTACATGTTGACCTTAAATGTTAAAAGAGGTTAAAGCTATTTCACAAAAAATAAAGAGGTTTCTAAAGTATATGCCAGAACTGACACAAGATACTGACACTCAGAGCTGAAGAATGGCAAATATATTAAAACAAGGAAGTAAGACGAACTCACAGTTGGTATCATGTGCCAGGTACTTCATTTAGCCAGATGTCAGAAAAAAAATGCCCTTCAACATAACCCTCCCCATAAAGAACTCTAGGTCCCAATACAATGAATGTGCAGTGGACAAACCTGCAGGTGAACAGTGACACCAATGACTTGTTAAAACCATAATAAAAGCCTGGAATTGTAGAAGGAGAAAGGGAGAACAGCACTACTCCATTTTGAAAAAGAAGAGTTAACAGGACAATAACAGAAATGGAAATTACATCCTCGGTAGTACTTGCACTGAACTGGGACAATCTGACAGCCAGGCACAATTAAATCCTCAGGAAGCAGCAGAAATAACATGCAAGTCACACAAAATTCTCTTTTAAAAGAATACGTGCATTTGCGTAGACACACAGAAAAAGACTTGCAATACCAAATGCAGTTCAATGATAGTTATATTTTTGACAACGGCAATCTGAAAGTTTTACAGCAAGCAAGCCAAGATGTTAACAGTATTATGTACAATAAAGTGAAAAGATACAGAGCTCCTGTTAATGCAAATAAAATTTAGGGCAATGGCTAATTAACTTTTCAACAATACTGTCTAAAGGTATCAGGATCACTGTCCCTTTATAGTGACACTAGGCTTCTAGAATGGTTAAAAGTGTTAACTAAACAAAAAAAAATTCAACTTCAGATTAGCAAACTTGACACCAACAGGATGGTTGTACCTTGGAAACTTCCCCAGCAGAAGGGAAGCCCAAGATATATTTTATGCCACTATTGTTACTAGATATGCACAAATATCCTGTGAGTTAAGCTGCTCACTTCAAATCCAGTTTACCACAAAAACGCTTACCATAACATCTGTCTACATGCATGCAAAGGCCACAGTCAAAGGGCCGGGACAGTGCGGAGACACAGCCTCTCTGGGATACTGCAAAGGAAAGACACTTGCCCAGAAACCTGATGAAGGCCAAAGTCATTTGAACTGAAAGATGAGAGTTAGATTTGACGCCTTTCTTCTAGTCAAAGAATCAGCAGCAGCAGCCTCTAGTGGCCAAAGTCTCCATAGCCAATGGTGGAAAAAAAGGAAGAGAGGAGAGTGTGTTTCACTTTTCATACTCATGAGGGACAACCGGTCATGAAAGCTTCCTCTGCAGGTACAACAAAAGGGAAAGTTCTCTAGTCCAATGTATATGTAAAATCTATCACTAAAAAAAAAAAAAAATCTATCACTGCAATTCTGTAACTGCCAGAGACAGTAAGAATCTGACAGAGCTCATGACAAGCTCATCTCCAGACTGAGTCGTGATTTCCCAGCAGCATCATTCTCAGCTCTACCAGTTGCTACTGCAGTTACTTTTATGAGGTACTAGAATTGTTTCAATCCTTTTTTAAAGTTACATTTTCCCTTTCCAGTGTATTGTCTCATGATATCACTAACAGTGTCAGCTAGTCAGCTACAGAAATAATTAACTGCTTTAACAATGAGGAAGAACTCACTGGAGTTTACATAAGATGCAGCACTTAAAGTATTATTAATACAAATAGCGATTACATGCATTATTCCTCCTAGACATGCAGACCAAAATCACAGGGATGAAGCCACTATGCAGTTTGCTTTATTTCTTCATAAGAAATAAATCAATTTTTTAGTAAAGTAAGTCTAATACACAAGACTAGTAGAAACAAAGCATATTCAATGTTAAATCAGTACATGTCTAAAAGTTAAACTTTGACAGTACTCATTAAACATTTTATGTGTTCTCAGTTTTCAGATTCTGATTTCTGAACTAAGAATAATTTATTACATGCTCACTTACCATGAAGGAAGAATCTTGATATTATATAAGTACATACCTATGCTCTGCCTCAAGTGAGCTTGAAAGAACATCTGCCTGAGGGAAAGCTGAAGATCGAACTATCTGCTGAGATGTAACTGAAGCATTGCCATTCTCCCGTGGAATTTCATTTTCAAAGTTTCGGTTTATATCTCTCTCACAATGAGAACTGTTGCTGTTATGCAAGTTAAAGGACTCATCATCCTGTTAAAAATAATTATGTATTACAAAGTTTAAAGGTAAATTCTATTCACAAGTAAATATCTTCATGCGCTGTAATTCAGGGATTCCATTTAATTTAAAAGAAGTTTAAATGAAGACACTCTATACCATTTCAGAGGTAATTCTGTTCATTCTTCTTGAATTTGCAGTACCCAGATGCCACAGAAATGTTAAGTTATAACACTGATCAAATAATGTAGAAGCAACTCCCATGCTCTGTCTTGAACTTTTTTCTACAAAGTTTCAAACCTATCTTAAAATTCAAAGTTATTTAAGCTGCCTTTCATACCTACAGAAATAACAGGTTATCTGTTGAACTTACAAATAATGTTCCTAGTTAAATATCAGAGCTATGTCTGTCAGGAGAAGTTTGAAAGCATGAGTTCTCAAGTTTACTTAGTGTAAGAGGCAGATCACAGCTACTATACCTCAACCAGCAAATTCATCTGCCACAAGTTCAGAAAGACTGGATACTGCTCTTTAAATTCAGACAATAACCTCCCCTACACACATGCACTCACCAGAGCTTCTCAGGCTGTTAACAGCAACTGTAACTTACTAGCCATGAAACAAGAAATATGAAGAAAGTTTATTTAGAAAGCAGATTGTTTAGGTTCACTCAAATATTAAAAGCTTATTAATCTACAAATCAGAGAGGTTTCTTTTTATTCTACTCATTCAGTAACCTGTAATTCTCATCTAGTAATGAGACAAATAGCCTCAGAAGTCTTACCAACTGTAAAAACAGAGCTGAGTATGATCGTCATCTAGTTAACACCCTTTTGACAACAAAATCCCTAAACTAGGCATATAACAGCATTATCCATAGCAGGAGACAATCACTCAATCAGCCTGTTCTGCACTTGTAAAAAAACATACTTCAGAGTCCAGGATCAAGACCATCACTTCACTCAGTGTTGTCTGCTTCCAGAAATTTTAGAATGCTCAGCAAGAATTTCTTAAGAACAAGCATTTCAATAAAAATACATTCGGCTGTTAAATCACATGCCTGAAGAACACAACTCAGATTATCAACAGAATTTATAAGAATATTAAAGAATTTTAGTGTATATATATATATCTATATATATATATAGGGCAAAACAGCTTCTTCCAAGCATCATTCAGCTGCTAATTAGGATTTGCCTCATTATTTCAGATGTGGCATCTATTACTGCACGCCTTAAAATTCCATCAACAGGATCACATTATATAGTACTGTAGTGCAGTTATCTCCCCATCCACTCAGTTGCACACCATGTCTTCTACTGAGGATCATGAAAATGAATGTTGGAAGTAGGACAACCATTATGTTATACAAATCATGTAACTCTTTTCACACCTGTTAGTGAAACAGCAACAGCACAGAAAAGGAAGCATGCATTTACCAACAACTACTCCACACTACCTGTTACATACACTTTACCAATTATATTACAACTTCTACTATTAACAGCCTTTTTTGTTTTTATTTTTAAATACACTTGCTTCTGAAAATCAGCTCTGTACAATGGGACAACGAAATGCATTTGACATATCATAAAGATATGAACTCAAGACAATTTCAGGAACAGAAACCACCACCAAGTTCATGTATAGTTTTCAGAATTCTGAAGCTCAAGACAGTGTTTCCCAATATCTTTTCGGTCCTAAGTTAAATTTTTTTGTGTATTTCTTAAACACAAGTGAACAACACTACCCCTCCCCAAAACCCATATCAGGGTACTCAGCCACAGAATGCCTAACGGAAGGATGCAGACTCACACATACAGCTAAGTTGTACAGTCACATTACAGCAAATTTTATTCTGCCTGAAATAGGGACAGGGTCAGAAAAGTCTATCTTACTTTCATGAGCAATGCACACTGGCACTGTTTCTTTTTTCACACATCTGAATCCAAATAAACCTTCCTCAAAACCCCTCATTATCTAGCCAATTTGTATTTTTGTTTTGTTTTGTTTACACACTATAAGCCACTCATATACAGTGAACAGGACTGCAATCACCTCATCCTGAATGTTACAATACTTCTCTTCGCTTGGACTATGTATAACTATGCTTATGGCTTGCTGGTGGCTTGTAGCACCGGCACAAATGTTCTCTGGTGCCAGCCAAGCACTGCATAAACCAATCCAGATTGAAAGAAACTCAGCACATACTATATACAGACAGTATAGGCCTTCAAGTTCTCAATTAGGATTTAAAACCAGGTTCTTTATATATGCATAAATTCAACTATTGCTCCTATGATTAGTCCAAGAATAGATAACTTCCGGCTATCTAAACACTCTAACTAGGAAAGAAATGCTATCAGAAGCAGAACCAAGTTTTTCCATTAATTGTTTTGTAGGAAAACTAACAGTCAAGGTATGAAATGCTGCCCTCCACAAGTCTGTAGGGCAAGAGGGGATTCACTCAAGGGTACTGAGGGAGCTGGCGAGGTGCTCACCAAGGCACCTTCCATCATTTTTATCAGCAGTCATGGCTAACTGGGGGAGGTCCCAGTCAATCAGAGGTTAGCAAATGTGACATCCACCCACAAGAAGGGCAGGAAGGAGGATCCAGGGAACTACAGGCCTGTCAGTGTGACCCCAGTGCCAGGGAAGGTTATGCCGCAGATCTTCTTCAGTGCCATTACACAGCATATACAGGACAACCAGGTGATCAGGCCCAGCCAGCACAGGTTTATGAAAGGCAGGTCTTGCTTGATCAACCTGATCTCCTTCTGTGATAAGACCCACTTAGTGGATGAGGGAAAGGCTGTGGATGTTGTTTACCTGGACTTTAGTAAAGCCTCTGACACCATTTCCCACAATATTCTCCTGGAGAAGCCGGCTGCTCATGGCTTGCAGAGGCATACTCTTCACTGGGTAACACACTGGCTGCGTGGCCAGGCCCGAAGAGCGGTGGTGAAAGGAGTTAAATGCAGCTGGTGGGCAGCCACCAGTGCTGTTCCCCAGGGCTCCGTACTGGGGTCAGTTCTGTTCAGTATCTTCATCAATAATCTGGATGAGGGGATCAAATGCACCCTCAGTAAGTTGGCAGACAACACCAAGTTGGGCAGGAGTGTTGATCTGTTTGAAGGTAGGAAGGCTCTACAGAGGGATCTGGACAGGCTGGATCAGTGGGCCGAGGCCAACTGTATGAGGTTGAGAAAGGCTCAGTGCCGGGTCCTGCACCTGGATCCCAACAACCCCACACAACACTACAGGCTCAGGGAAGAGTGGCTGGAAAGCTGCCTGGCGGAAAAGGACCTGGGGGTGTTGGTCGACAGCTGGCTGAATGCAAGCCCACAGTGTGCCCAGGTGGCCAAGGTCATCCTGGCTTGTATCAGAAATAGTGTGGCCAGCTGGACTAGGGAAGCGATCATCTCCCTGTACTTGACACTGGTGAGGCTGCACCTCAAATACTGTGTTCAGTTTTGGGCCCCTCACTACAAGACAGACATTGAGGTGCTGGAGCATATCCAAAGAAGAGCAACAGAGCTGGTGAAGGGTCTAGAGCACAAGTCCTATGAGAAGTGGCTGAGGGAACTGGTGTGGTTTAGCCTGGAGAAAAGGAGACTCAGATGAGACCCGATTGCTCTCTACAACTACTTGAAAGGAGGCTGTAATGAGGTGGGTGTCAGTCTCTTCTCCAAGTAACAAGTGATAGAATGAGAGGAAACAGCCTCAAGTTGTGCCAAGGGAGGTTTAGATTGGGTATTAGGAAAAATTTCTTCACCAAAAGTGTTGTCAAGCATTGGAACAGGCTGCCCAGGGAAGTGGTGGAGTCACCATCCTTGGAGTATTTAAAAGAGATGGTGCTTAGGGACACGGTTTAGTGGTGGACTTGACAGTGCTAGGTTAACTGTTGGACTCAGTCTTAAACATCTCTTCCAACCTAAACAATTCTGTGCCTAGGTTCATGTACTGATCTTAATTTATTCTTTTTATTGTTGCTAAAGACACAGACGTACCTGAGTTATTAACATGTATGAACAGATACTGCAGGGGAAAAAGACTACTAAGAAGGACTAATGGAAGAGTAGTACTTGGAACAACTTTTTTAAATTCACCAAAATGAAATTCCTTTCCTTCAGAGATCCAAGACCATGACTTAGCAGCTGTTTACAGCAAAATAAAAAGTAGTTTATGGTCCATCTGAAAACTACTACTGCTGGATCTACAATATGTATGAGCAAAACTACCTTCTCTTGTCCAGCATGAGTCTTGTCTTCATGTTCCTCTTCCACTCTATCTTGTTTCAATGCTTTCAAAAATTCACTCTTCTTATCAGTCCGCATTCTTGTCAATTTTGTCAAACGAGGCTGACCAACTTTGTCAACAGGGGAAGAAGAATTTGACCGATTACACTAATGTAGGGAATCAAAAAAATAAAAAATATTAGAACTTTATTCATTTAGAAAACTGAATGAAAGACAAAAAGACTCCTTGGCACCTTAATTTCATGTTTCACATGTTTACACAGTCAAAAGTAGAGGGAAGACATTTGTATTTCAGTATAGATACTTCTTACATATAAATTTAGAAATTCAGGTTTATGGAGCACTGCTAGCTAACAGTGTACCTTCTGAAGTGCATCATACCATTAGCAGTTTTGAACTTCAAACCTATGAGGTTATACTTCCTAACACACCACCTATCAAACCTACAAAGCAAACTGCAGTACTTGAAAGCCAGTGATATACCTTCCCTATTTCTCACACATTAATTTCAAAAAAAAACCCAATACAATTCTGCATAGAGCTTACTGATCCCCTTATCTAACCAAATGAAACATTTAATAGATTTGATAAAAACTATAGACATTGCTTTACCTCTTTCACTGAATTCTGTGATACAGTAAATGCCCTGGCAGTTGATTTGAAAGGACTGAAATTGCCAACACCATATGCAGATTCATGAGGAAATGGATTTCCAAGTTTATTTTCTTTTGCTTGGCTTTTCCACTGTGGAGGCTAAACAGAAATTTAAACAGAAATTTAAAGAGTCATTAACTACAACAGGATTATTTTCAGGAATCTTTAGAAAAAAAATTATTAAGCAAAAGCAAATCATAACTACATTCATAATTTATTGCAAACACCTGTTATCTTGTGGAAAAGAGACTGCTTATGAGCAATTCATCTGCTCACAAATACTGTTTACAACTTTTGTATAAAACAAAATTTCAAAACAATTAAGACCCTCATATTTGAGGTATTAAGAATCAAAATATGAGTTTTAAAGAGCTGAATATTTTTTTTAATGTAGAATGTTAGAGAGTTAATAACTACTCCATCATATGCTCTCAGAAGCACAGAAGAATTTCTGAAACAAAAAATTATGAGATGAACATGGGAAGTTTCATTTGGAAAGGGACCAGAGTGACATTAATAGGTTGCAAAATCATCTCTATCAATAATTGGGATAAATTCCTAAGGTATTTTTATGCCAGCTATCTCTCTCCACTAGGTATCTATTTTTCTGTCCAAATCATATATACAAAAGGCATCGCTATTCTGTAAGTTAAAACATCCTTCTTACTCTCACTTGGACAGTTTTTGCACTTCTCAAAGTTAAGTAAGAAACAAAGAGTGATCCAATTACCATACAGTTTAGAAAGAAAAATGAGAAGAAATTGTTTCCATTCACTTTTTGGGTGTGTAGCACTTAGCAAGAGTTGAAAGCATAATACTCTATTGCCATGGTTTAGGCTCAGTCATCAACTAAGCACCACACAGCCACTTGCTTGCTCCTCCCCACTTTCCAGCAGGATGGAGAGGAGAATCAGGAAAAAAAATTAAAATTTGTGGGTTAAGATAAGAATACTTTAATAATTGAAATAAAATATATTAACAACAATAAAATATAATAATTGTAACTAAAAGGGGTGTAACAAAGAGAGAGAAATAAAACTGAAGGAAAAAAACCCCACACAAGTTATGCACAACACAACTGCTCACCACCCGCTGACCAATACCCAGACAGTCCCCGAGCAGGAATCACCTTTCCACCTAACTCCCTGCAGTTTATATACTAAGCATGACGTTCTATGGTATGGAATATCCCTTTGGCTAGTTCGGGTCAGCTGTTCTGGCCGTGCTTCCTCCCAGCTTCTTGTGTACCTCCTTGCTGGCAGAGCAGGGAAACTGAAACATCCTTAACTTAGGGTAAGCACTACTTAGCAACAACTTAAAATATCAGTGTGTTACCAACATGTTTCTTACACTAAATCCAAAACACACTGTACTGGCTACCAAAAGAAAATTAACTCTATCCCAGACAAAACCAGGACATCTACATACAGTACCCTCAGAAGTGAAATAAGCACATTGAGAATTACAACATAATTTTTTTATTTATGTTGTTCATGCCATCAGTATCCGAGACTTACCTTTGCAGGTGGAGTGACAGGTTTAGGGACTAATCCTTTATAAACACTTGTGCCAGTTCCATTCCTAACTGGCTGTGAATGAAGACTTCCCACTACTGGGAATCCAGATATCTGTAGTTCTTTTGTACTGCCCTTTTTAATGACCAGCATTCTTGGAGATCTAGATTGAGGATTCAAAGGGTACTCTGGAAAAAAAAGTAGTGTGTATATATATGCATGCATGTGTATACAATCCTAAATTTCTAGTTCATAAGGTACTGGATAGACACATGGTCCAGAGCAAACAGGCATAAATCAGGAACTTAGTCCAGGATTTGTTCTACATATAACACACTGTACAAACCTGAAGAAACATAGGTTCTATACCATTTTCAACCACCACCATTTGTAAAATATTTTGCTTGGCAATGCAGGAATTTTACTTTTGGAAAGTAAAGATAGTCTTCAAAGAAGGCAGCTACACAAATCTTTGCAAATTTAAAATCCAGATACTATTGGTTGTTGACAGTTACCTAATCTTCAAAAGAGATTATGTTTTTCATACTTCCCTTTAAAGTTACTAAAAGAATAATTACTTATATATTTATTAACAGCTCAGTTTAGAGCAAAATGCTCCACACTGAGGCTCTACAAACATGAGACAAGAGATGTGCACTGCTCTAAACCACAGCAATGACAAGTTTCTGTACCTCCATGCCTCTGATGGGCATAACAGAACATCTGAAGCTTACAACATTTCCACATTTAAAAGAGTACTAATTAAGAGACATACAGTCAGTTGTCATAATAAGTAACTGACATTGAATAGTTTTAAAGAACACCTATTAAAAACAGTTTTAAAGTTTTCAAAAAGTGAAAAAAAAACCACTTTGATTTTTTTTTGCAGGTGTTCCAATGGTGCATTAACAGCCTTTTCCATTATTATCTCCTCTCCCTGCAAGCACTACTTCTACTTCACAGAGTCACAATATCCAACATTTACAAAAATAAAAAAACTATCTAAAAAGTGTGACTTCAGCCTTGTTTAGCAGGTAGCTGTCACAAAACATGCATAGTAACCGTATAGTCGGCCCATTAAATTTTATGAAAAGACTTTTCAGAACACTCACATGCTCCCATCACATAGATTTCATTTTACCTTGTGTATAACAGAAGTATACATTTTTAACAGGTATTAGAAGGGGATGGTAACATTCCTACTGTCCTGAATATTGTTTCCCTTAAAAGGCAATAACAACAGCCTTAATTCCAGTTTTACAATTACAAACTAAGGTTTGCAACAACAGAGCTGTAATAAAGTAAGATACCAAGCTGTAAGCTGTAACAAGCCACTGCACTGTGGCTTACAGGTCTGACTAGATGATCTTTAAAGGTCCCTTCCAAACCAAACCATTCTATGATTTTATGTAGCTAACAGAACTGTTTCTTCCTTTGCTTGTGAAAAGTGGTATCTAAAAGCCTGAAAAGCTTGTCCTCCTTCAGATCAAATTGAGGCACATCATGTAGCAACCATAGCCAGAGTGCTGCAAAAGTTGCAAACCACTCAAATTGCTATGTAAATTTTCCCATCTTCACTAGGAAATAATTTAGTTATTGTTGCTCTTTTACTGAAAGATGACTGTATTTCCTGACTTTCACATGAAAGCTGCTAAACACACAAAACCTGAAAGTTTAGGCTCCTGCAAAAGTCCTTAGCAATCATGTATTTATATTGAGAGCTTGGCCTACATCTAGTGCTACCTCATAGTGCAGAACTTTGTAGGGAAGTATGAGAAAAAGAATCAGCAAATTAAAGTACCATTTAAAATGATACAAGTTTCAGATCACAGTATTAGCAACAGTTTCAGTAGCAGCTTTTATGTTTAAAGTTATTTCTTCATAAAGAGAAATGTTCTTATTTTGAGTAAGTTTATTACTTTAAAACCTGTACAGTCTAAAGCTTCCACCTTCTTGAACAATTGACTACATAAAGCCCATAGAATCATAAAGCAGCAGCCAAATTTAATCAGGTAGAGACAAGAAAACAATCCCAGACCACAATTCAGTTCAAGGGCCACTCTCAGGATTGAACTTGTTGATTGTGTAAACAAAACCAACAGCTTAAAACACTTGCTTCCAGGAAGAGGCCTTGAACCTCTGCAAGATACTCTGTTCTTCACAGCCCTCCCAGGTTTCTCTTCAAACAGCTCTAATCAGTCAGAAGCATTCTTTTACAAACTCTACAGCTAGCAATCACATCACTACTTTAGGTGACCCACTTTCAATGCATTTCCTCTTGAAAATAAAAATTAAGATAAATTCTTGACATATTTATAAAAAAGATGTATACTTGTTCTGGGAAAGAATCCTAGTTTGTAGATGTAGGTGGCTACATCTACAGACCAACAGATTTATATCCAAATAGAAGTGTTACCTCTCTAACAAAAAAGAGACTTACATTGTAATATTGAAGTTTCCCCAATTTCAATCTATACTTTTATAGTTTATATCTATACTTTATAATTAAAAAAAAAAAAATCCTATGTTTCAAATAAAACCACTTCAGATCTCCACTACATTTTTAAGTTGAAAAACATCAAAAATACTCACCCCACACACCTGCAGCTAAAGATTTATTCTGGTTCAGTTCCCTCTCATATTTGGGGTTCAAGGATGGCTGAAATAAATTTTTATCATTATTAAAAACATAAAAGTCCTCAATTCTGGGACCAATGAAATAAAGAATCGCAATAATATTGGCAGTGTGACCTCTGTTGTCAAAGATTTTTAAATGGAGACAGACTAGACACTGTGACCCAAATAGGTCAATGCTCACTTGTTTCTCTTCTCCAAGAAAGCATCTCATGCAGCAGTCAATACCACTACATGAACTGTCTACAGAAAACAGAAGGAAGCTCACCCTTCCTCTTACATCCTACAATTCTAAATTGAAGTATGGGATCTCAAAGGGCTATTGGCAGAAAGATCACTTTGTTAGTACTTCAGACGTCCAGTAAGGCAACTGTGCAGAAATTAATACATACACATACCACAGTAAACTGGAACCCAGTTTCACCTAAAACACTTAAGTGACAATAATAAACATATAATGTTAAAACCTGGATATAAAAGGAGAAACAAGTTAGAAGACAAATTACTAACACTCTTACCTATGGGAAGGGTGATCCCTTACATGATAATGTGAAACTAGTAAAATCTCATGAAGTAGCTTGCAATGGACAAAATGACACTTTTAGAAACAATGAAATCTTGTTTATTATAATTACAATTAACTTACAAAATCCTCTGCCTCAAACTGTTTGGGTGTTACTTTGTCTTCCTTTTTCCCAGTTTCATTATCAGATGCATTGTTTTCATGCAGTCCTTGGCCTTTTCCACTGTGGAAAGTGCTGGTACGGGCACGGGAACCTCCACCATGGTATTCTCCACGATGGTTTATATTTTCTGTACCATTTCTGCCTTGTGAACGCCAACCATTCTTCTCTTTTCTCCCAAAATGCCCTTAGATTTTTCAATTTTAAAGAAATGTAAATACAAACACTTTTAAAAGAATGTTCTACTTTTGCAAAATCGTTAGTTAAGTCAGCAGCTCTGTACTCCGGCAGGTGATAGTATAGCATAGTGAAAGTCTTCATTCACGTAAGCAGCAGGGAAGAATCTTACAAAACAGTGCCAGAGGAAGAGGATAGTAGTCCAAAGTTCAGACAAGACAACCTTGTTTTCTCGTTTCTCACTTACACATTGTTGGCTAGAATATTAACTTAATACTCTTATTCTTAAGAGAGACATACACATGGAATCATACTACTTTAACCAACCCTTAGTCATCACATTCCCTCCCACAAGATCTGTCTTTCCAATACCTCTATTTTATTACAGAATAAGAATCTATCATAAGAGAGCTATTATCATGAGACATTCTTTCTAGCTAGTGCTACAAAGCAATGATATAAACATATCCAAAATGTTCCACGAAAGCTAAATTATACCTCCATTAGGCCGTCCAATGTTAGGATCAAAGCCATCTGAAGAGTTGTGTCTTCTACGATTTGCTTCATAACGATTCTCTGTCCACGAAAAATTTTCAGAATGTTTCTCAAAGTTCAGTGATGACTGTAAAGGAGCACAAGTGGTAGACCTGAGATATCCAATTAATAACAAAACTGAATTATCACAACTGCAACATGCACATTACTCATGGTATATACAATTAATTTTTTAAAGGACTTTGAATGACAGACAATGTAGCAGTCCTCAACTATGCATATGTTCAGAGCTATGTCACCATTTCCCATGCCAGCAAAGTGGAAGATGTATCTTCTGCTCCAGGACACAAACAGCACTGAGGACCATGCTCATGACACAAGGTAAAAAAACTCAACTGTCTATTTCATGTTGACAGCAGAACAGAGCACAAGTGACATGTGTTGCAGCAGAGGAAAAACTTAAAAAAGGTAAGAAATGGCAGAGAATTGCAATTTGGAAAGCAGAAATGAAGTCTGGGATTTTAATTTGTGTTGTCAGAGACTATGTATGTGTATGCCATAGAAAGCAAGGAGTCAATTCCACCAGAGCCACCTATGCTCAAAAAAGGGTCAATTTATTAGTCTTGTCATTGTAACTTATATTTGACTTAATAAGTCAAATGCAACGAGTTATGAAATACAAACCTAGAGTAAAAAGCATACACATTAACAAATATACTTCAAATTATCAGCTTATATTATAAGTAGGCACTGTAGAAATTTTAAAGACATAAATCTTTAATATATCAGTAAGAAGTACTTTAAAAACTAAAACCTTGTATTGAGAATAGCAATTAGAAAACAAAATACATCCAGACTAGAACTCATACCTAAGGGGATTAAACCAAAAAGATCATGCCTTCCCTATTACTTCTATCTGTCCTTACTATTTTAACACTGTAACATTCATTTTGCTGTTACATCTTGAAAATTAAAGAATTAATTTTCATTCTGCAAAAGTAGCCCTTAGCCTCACTGTTGTTCACACCACACATCTCCCAGTGAATGACAAAGGGCTGCATTACCCAGCACCTCCCTGCCACACAGCCAGCCTTTGATGTAGATGAAGCAAAGCCCCCCCATCCCTCCCACTCCCAGCAAGCTTACTGTGCACATATATATCCACATATATTGCACAGGTACAGGTCACCCAACATGTCCCAGGTCTGAAAGAGCTGCAAGTGCATAAATGCACAGCTGTGTGGAAATACACTGTGTCAGCAAACAAAGCTTAATGATTCTAGCAAGTATCAATTTTATTGCACCCAAAGTATCAACTTCGCTGCCTGAATGAAGCTCATTCCCTCTCCAGAATGAGTAACATTCAGGGAAAAAAAAAAAAGTATAGCTATAATGGTGTATGTCTGAAAATGAAAGCCCCAAGTTTATTTCAACAGTTATTACCCACATCTAGTTGAGCTCTATTAATATTTAAAATAATTCACTCATCAACATGGGGGGGGTGGGCGGGGATTGTGGAAGGAAACCTCAGTAATAGGTTTAACTACTTTGGTAAATGTTGAAGAAAATAATTCCCTCCTCACCTCCCCTGCTCCCGCAAGAGACAATCACACCAAAAAAAAACCTATTCCTAAGTTCTACTGACAGTGCCACAGTAGAGCACAAGGTGCTGTTCTAAATTCATTGCTTAAAATTCAAACTCTTACTTTCAATGGATATGTTTAAAATACAAAGCATATATTTCCAAAAATGAAAGAAGAGTGCCCTCTCAATTTGAGACCTGGGAAGTGAGTTACTTTACTGGAAAACTTGTGGAGAGAAAAAACAGAAAACCACCAGAAACTTTTAAAAGATCAAAGTAGTTCCAAAATTATCATAATGAATGTCAATATTTAAGTAAAAAATAAACCCTTGCAAACAAATTTTGAATCAGCTGCCAAAAATTTCAGAAACCTCCAGATCTGTTGATCATAGATGAAATTTTTGAAGATAGAAGGTCATCGTATGTAAATGATCACATGAAGCTAATATTGACTTTGGAATTTAACTTTTTTTTTTTGTATGAACTTCGAAGAAGATTTTCACAAAGTATTACAGACAGGATTTTATATATAGTGTTGGAATTGTAGATGATGTAATGAATCTAAAGTCTCTAAATTGTGTGCAAAGATCATGCAGTTTGCATTTTCCCCACATGATGGAGGTATCAGTCTATCAAGCCTCTTCTGGCAAAGATGACAGCAAACTTTGTAATCACCAGGAAATCTATTGGTGATTTCTGGAAGTTGAGAAATATCTGACTAGGTTCGGCCAGCCAAGAAAGAAAGAAACAGATTTTTGAAGTACGAGAAGTAGTTTTATTGCTTAATACGGAGTAAAAGTAAGCTTGCAAAAGCAAGAGTTTACCAGTCTGTCTGCAATCTCCCCACATAGGTTTTATAGCAATCCCTTCTGAAAAGTTTGATCTGTATTCCCAAAATGGCCTCACTATTCACACCACCTTCCCACTTCCACTTACCCAACTGCAATACTGCACTGACGCAAATATAGTAGTTCCAGACCTGAACAAGAACTACTGAGCAATGGATACCCAGGTATTGAGGTGGACTTTGCTATATAAGCAACAGGGATGATACAAAAACTTACCCTTAAAAGGAAATTATCAACAATAGGTGAGATGCATTTCAGTCAAACTGTAATCTGTATCAGTCACATTAAGAAAACTCATTCACAGTCCCATCTTCCCAGCATCAGGTTTTTCTAATGCTCTCTACCTACACAAAGAAAATCCTTGGCTACCAAGGATCAAGGAGGGAAACCAAGCTTCTAAAGATTGAATCCCTACAAGCACCTCTTCAGGGAAATAAAACCAAGCAGAATTCAGTTTCACCTTTTCAAGTCTAAATGTTATTGATACCATAGCCTTACCCCAGCTCCATTCTCCATAAAACATGAGATACCTTGCCTTCCTCACCCCATCCTTCCTCTTCATCTCCATCCCTCCTATTTGTTCTTCTCTTCAGCTGCTTTGTTGATAGATGGGAAGCAGAAATGAAAACCTATTCTAGAAAATGGAGGGAACAGGGAGCCAGAACATTTAAGACCTCTCTTGCAGAGGAATGACAGGACAAACCTTATTCTGTAAACTAAGAATTGCTCCACTTTAGGTATGACCAAAAAGACTTTGCAAGTGTTTAATATCCAAATGTGCTGTATATCACAGAACACTGATCATTGAATTATTTCTTTCTTCCTCCCTCAAACAACGCATTTCAAACAGTAAAGCACAAAGCCTATAATGGAGAAAGCATGCAACTACAGAGTTTTTGGAAGAGATGAAAGAAAGACTATCTAAACTCCTTGAGGCAAAGAAATACAGAACGGAACAGGATCCACAACATATGCTTGCAGTGAAGTATCCCACAATTCAGCAAGTGAGGTCACAAATACAACTCACACCTCAGATACATTCAAGTGGTACTGGAGTAGTTCTGAAAGTTACTTTTATCCTGTTATGTTGACACTTTAAGCATGCAGGTAAAGCTCTTCCAGTAGATGCTTGAAATATGTGGTGAAGATTGTTTTCTAATTGTGATACCATATTAAACTAAGCACTGATTACTTTTTCAATTGAAAATCTATTCAATTGGAAAAAGCAGATCAAAACTGTTGAATATATCAGAAATCAAGTAGAATGAAAACAAACAGATCACAGGATCCATCCTGGAACAAATAGGCCTGATGTTCCCAGAACAGCAACTGAGCTGTGCTGATAGACTAGCTAGCTATATCAGTGTAGAAGAAAGACAAATAGAGCAATATGAATAAGGACATTCAATGACCTTACAAAAAAAAAAAAAAAAAAATGCATGCGTGTTGGTGTGTGCATGTAGATACAGACAGATAGGTATCTAAGTAAAGCAATAGGAACACAACTAATACTTACAGCTTACTGTGCATTTAACAATACCACAAACCTATTTCCATAATTTTATTATGGCTAAATGTTTTACATGGACATGAAAGACAGCAGGAAACTTACATAAACACGTTAAAGTAAGACAACGCCATTCTCATAGCTGTAGATACAGATATTGCACTGAAAAGATTATAATGAAGAAGACAGGTCTACAAATAGGGAAATATATGACAGGAGTTTAAATATCCAGTGCTGCCTCTGCTTCTGCATTCACACAAATTAAGAAAAAGTAGAAAGATAGGCCAGAAAAAAATAAACATTCATGAGACAGACATACTCCTGACTTCCCGGAATATTTACAAATCCTAACAATTCAGAGATTTCTAGATTCTGTTTCCAAGCGAACTGCCCCATTGTATAAAGTAACAGTAGTCTAGATGAAACAGAGTGAAGATGCACATACATTTGAAAGCACCACACTCCAACATTAGGAACAAGCACCTTACCAGCAACTGAAAAGCCATTTCAGAAGTTCTGTTTCAAAAGTATTTTTTTAATCACTTGGATGATAGAATAACATGTCTGTAAAATTTATAGGGCACAGAGAAAAATCAGAACTAAAAACATCAAGCACATGCCTCTGTCATCTTGGTACTTCTAGCACAAAATACAATAATTCATTTTAAACCCCTGATGAAGGCAATCTTAATCCAACAACAGCTCTGATAATGCTTCTTTCCATTAACTCAGCTGCTGAAACAAAAAACTCTGCTGAAGGTATGAGCATAACAATCACAATACAACTACTTAAACCATGACAAGATGACTTGCTAGGTATCATCTGTAATCAGCCTATTCATAAAGAGATTTGCATTTTTACTATGATTAAGGTTATGGCATTTAGCCTTTTCTAATAATGAGAGTGCCTGTCCAAAAGAAGAAAGAACATACCTTTGTTGATGATGGTGGAGTAGGAAAATTAAGCCAGGCTGGAGCAAAGTCATGCTGCGCCATTTAGGTCCAGTCTCCCCGAATCAGTGAAACAAGGCTTCAGCACCTCATGGCAAGTCCCTGTAATTGGAAGAACAAGAAATAAGTACTTTTCAGATACTCATGCTACACAATTAGTATACTTCTGCTGTTTTGATAATTTCCCTTCTGTTTTCTGGTATTATTTTCTCATACAGATCTGGTTTAGAATCTAACTATCCTCATCTCATTTACAGCATCACATTTGTGTTTTTATTACCAAAGTATCACAGGAATCATGGATACGCAACTATAACATTCCCTGCTTTATTTCCACTTATAAATGGGATGAAGTATCTTGTGTAAGGTATGATCCAAAAAGCTGTGGCAAAATTAGCTTGTTGAAATACTTTCTGGTACCATCAAGAATGGATGTCAGGAGCTATTTCATTAGCTTCCTAGAGGCAGCTGATTTTTTTAATTAGTTCCTAAAAGTTATTCTCAGAGGCCATGTTAAGGTTCCTTATGAAAAAACTAGATGCTCAGGGCCACCACAAACACCGTATTATCTTTAGATTCAATGGAAACAGAGTCCACATGTCCAGAAACAGAACCAAAATCCAGTAAAATTCTCTGGTTTGAAAATGGGCAAGAGAAAGTAATGGCTTAAGATTAAAATCCAGTAGTACTTTTTCTACCCCATGCTCTCCCCACAGGTAGGAAAACATCTCTCAATAAGCATGAGAATACCAGATAATGTGAACTCTATTACCTGAAGCTGAACTATGTATAGCACAAAGGAAAGAAATATATGAAACACTGACTGAACTATAAGGGTATCTGACTCATGCTCTGCAGCTAGGCACTCCAAAATTGTCAATGATTCAAAAATATTTCAAGTATGATATACACACTATTAGAAAGTCAGCTAGTGAAAACATAATAAACACCCACATGCATTTCATAGGGAGACCCAAATAAACATGTATACCACATATCTGCACAACAGAGTGCAGATCCGTTAGTCAATGAGCACAGATGTAGTTCAGTTCAATCTGAAGCTGCTGTAACATAAGTATTAGTAAGAGTTGTGTAACGTTAACTTGATGACTGATAATTATTTTATTCTGGTCTGAACCAGGTTATTTCAGATATTCAGTAACAGATGAGAATGTTCCAGCCTCTAAAAGGAAGTCTTACAGATTTATAAGCATTAAACCGCACTTAGTTAACCTGTTGGTTCTTTTTTGTGCCGTGAGCTCATACGTAGGTTTTTAGGCACCTCTGATACCAAGAGTTAAACTGTAAAATAAGATGCACAAAATCTACTAACATTAAATAGAGACAAGTTTAAAGATATGTCTCACTGAAATAACTTGCTATAAATTACTCTAAGTCATCCAACACTCTCTTCTAAATTAACCTCAACAAAAATTCCAGAGAAATTTTCTAAAGAATCCAGTTAAGTCAGACTAGTAAAAAACAAATGAAGAAAGTTCTAGAGGCACAGAACCATCACAAAAATGGCTTCTAAGAGGAACCAAGTTCACTTTTACTGATGTCATGGTTTAACGCCAGCCAGCATCTAAGCACCACGCAGACGCTCACTCACTCTTCCTTATCTACCACAGTGGGATAGGGAAGAGAATCGGGGTAAAAAAGTAAAGTTTGTCGGTTGAGACGAGAACAGTTTAGTAACTAAAATATAGTAATAATAATAACAAAAAATAATATAATAGAAAGAAGATAAATAAAACTCAATAAAAGATAAGTGATGCACAATGCAACTGCTTACCACCTGCTAACCAATGCCCAAGCTGTGATCTGCCCCCCAGACAACTCCCCTCAGTTTATATACTTAGTTTTATGGTATGGAATATCCCTTTGGTCAGTTGAGGTCAGCTGTCCTGGCTGCGTCCCCTCCCAACTTCTTATGCACACCCAGCCTACTTGCTGGTGGGGTGTTATGAGAAGCAGAAAAGGCCTTGACTGTGTGAGCACTGATCAGAAGTAATTAAAATATTATCAGTATTATCAACACTGTTCTCACACTAAATCCAAAATACAACACTGTATCAGCTACTAGGAAGAAAATAAACTATCCCAGCCAAAACCAGAACAGCTGATTAATGATGTTCAGCAATGGTATAGAAACAGAAAAGGGTATATGTTTACAGATGAACCAATACAAGGGATGCTAAGTTAAGAAACGGCATATTAAATGTGAACAGACTGCAGCAAGAAAAATTTTTTTTTTCTCCTTCTCTCAGATACAGCTCTCATCTCCAAGCAGGAGAATCATGAAACCTTTAGAAAGGATCAAGACAGTTATCAATACTGGAAAATCAGCACAACAACAACATCTTCAGACCAAGGCACTGACAGATGAAAAACAAAATGAGACATTAGGTTTATACCAAATAAGAACATAAAAAAGGATCCACAAACTATTACCAAGTTATTGGTGAATCAGCTATTAGGTATGGGACAACAAAAGCACTAACAATGTGATTTCTTAATAAATTCATCTTACCACTATTAAAAAATGAGTCAAGCTTCCTAACACTGCTATTTATCCAACTGCCAAGAGTTTATTCTTAACTCACTAACATCCCTACCTTTTACCTTTTGCACATAAATCAAGGGCTCAGGCAAGATTTGGTGATCACCTAGTATCCGAAGACTGGAGAAGTATTTTTAACAGAGCTTTGTCCACAGCTCTACTGACACTGAGTGTATATTTTTTCCTGAAAAAACTATTCCAAAAGCAGATTCAAGTCTTCCTCATGTTCTCAGTCCTTCAACTAGAAGATCTTAAAAGGTTTTTGATAGTGCTGCTCTGTAGAAAAGGGATTGACTCATCTGACAAAGTGGTATAGTGAAGTGGTAAAGACAGAGAGTCCTGGGCCAAAACCACACCATACTCAGAGTGCAAAGTCAGCAACAGAGTATTTGTAAATTTCAATAAACCCGTAAGAGAAAAATTTTCAGGCCTGATCCTTCCAGCTAGTTTTGATAAAAGAACAGCAGTAACAAAAGCACAGGTTTACAGTTAAAGACTACCAAGAAAAGCAATTACTGATGAAACTGACCTCCACACCCAAGTCAAGAAAACACTTTCTTTCATCTGACTGTACATATTATTGGTCTGGCAATTATACACAGGAAAATCTAGTATCTTCATTATTAAACCTTACTAACTTCTAAAAGGCACAAACACCCTAACCATAACTAAACTGGGAAACAAACAGAGCAGATCAGGAAAGGACAAATATTAACACCTTTTTTTAAAACTGTTTTAGAGTACATAGGCTACCCGTCTTGAAGTTGCCAATTCCATGTTTTACCAGGCTTCATAACTACTCTTACAAATGCTAGCTTTCTGATGTCAACAAGTTTGTCCTAGAATGTGTTTTACTATAAAAACATTTTCATTACATGCATCATCTGTGTTCTGATGATCTGGCCAACATACAATGGCTCTAGGATACTCTTCCTTCTCAGGAAGATGTTTTTGGTAAATTGAAAACAGACCACAAAAGGGGAGAATAGGATGTCAGCAAGACCACTCTGCTGCCACAGGCAGGATTTACTATGCTTAAATCCTTCGTGACCAGCTTGGCTGCCAAATATCAGTTTGTTCCTTGCTTGCTTTCCAACTTAGGTTAGACCAACAACTCAGAGTAGCACGTTATCCTGCAACACATGCCATCACTAGAAAGCTTCCTTCTACCAAGTCTGGCCTGTCTTTTTTCCTGCTATTCATGTCCACTACCTAAGCTACCCTCAGCAGAGATGTTTCTGCATTCTGTGTCTTCCAAAGCACTTGCAACCTCTATTCAGATTCGTACTATTTACAAATTTAATAAGCATAAACTCTATTTCATGATTGAAGTTAATAAAAATACTGAAGAGACCTCTTTAGAAATTTACTTGATATATCCTTCCAGCTTAACATCAAACAAGAGCTGTCTACAAAGACTGAGAAGTCACTATGGCAAATATGTAACATCGATCAGCAGTTTACTTAAGAACACTTGTGCCCTTCAGAAACACAGGACTACTCTTAGATTTAAAAAAGTAAAGTTTTTCCATAGTATGAAAGTCAGTAGTATGCACCCATATAAGCATTTACAAGAAATGGCTTTAATTATACTGACAGACATAAAGAACCCATTTGTCTGTTAGCAAACCTTCTCTTATGTACACAAAGCAATGGATCAACCACTGTTCATTAACTCTGATAAAACATCTGTTGTATTATCAAAATTAACACAGCTACCAGAAATAAGCTTTATTGAGGTAAACACCACAAATCTGAACATGATTCCACTGCTTTCAGAAACTCTCTTGACAACAAGTAAGCCCAAAATTATTCACTGAATGTTTCAGCCACCTTCCCCTTGCAGCACAAACTCAAAATGTATCTGGCATTCTTTAACCAAAGTGTCACAAAAGCTGGCTCAGGTTGTCTATTACTGAAGCAGAGCTGCACAATAGGAAGAGATACTGAAATACTGCTATCCTCATGCTATTAACACTCAAACGCATTTAAATTTCTTTAATCAGACTGGTCAAAATATTCAGCCTCATCTCAGCAATCACCTCTGGTGTCTGATTCAAGTACTGCATAGTGACTTCAGAAAAGACAATCTTCCACAGCCCATAAATTTAAATAAAAGTTGTGTTTTGCTGTGTTGTAAGAGAGTAGAGTAGCTAAGAGGGAAAAAAAAAAATGTCCTAGATTTTACTTCTATCTGGGGGATCTGAACGAAGACTGTAAAGCATTTCGTTTCAGGTACTCAGGTTTCCAATATTCAATTATATAATATTTAATTCTATAGTACTGTGAAGTATGATCTTCAGTAAGGCAGTGAATGCCAAGAAATTATGAACCGCTGGTTCCAAATGATGTATAGTGAAGAGATTTGTTATAAATCTCATTCAGTCATCCACTTTGAGCCACAAAGCAGTTGAAAGGAGGACACTGCACCAAGTATGTTTAACCAACATCCAAATAAGGTGGGGCCAGGGTTTTTTATGGTTGAGTCAATAAGGTCCTTTTGTGACAGAAACTATTTTTCACTAGTTTTAAAGCAGCT